ATAGTGATATTAACGAGAAATCATATTAAAGTTGATATATATGAGGGAATTTTGATATATAAAAATTTATAAAATTTGTTTTGTGGCTTAGGTTGATATTAACGAGGTTGATATTAACGGGGATAACCTGTACCATATCTTTGCACCTCCTAACATCACTTGTTGAATCTTATGAGCATAACAAAAAAAGCATTTCTGAAATTCTTAAGGATTTATGCCATTTTTCTTCTGTGATGAATAACTATTTTAAACTTTTACTATTTATGTTTGATAAAGATATAGAGAAAATGGAAGCAACTTTAAACTTATATGAATCTTTTATATTATCTAATAAAAAACAAGTGAGAGCTACAAAAAATTATTATAATACACTGATGTTTAGTAATGTTGCTGTTTTTATAACTCGGAACAAAATGAATTTGAGACATATGATGGATATTGCTTCACGAAGGTATATACAGTATTTAAAATATATTTATTTGTATAATTTAAATGCGTTTGTATTACTTACATTATAACATATATATATAAGTATCTTTGTGTATTCAATTATCTAATTAACTATTAATTGTTGTTGCTGATAAATAAATATTTATTTCACTTCTATATTCAAAACTACATCTAATGTAAATATCGTAATTTATATTATTTTTATAGGTTTTATTATTGGTTCGCATTGTGTTAGAAGATACTTTGACATTTGACCTTGCACTTATTCGATGGTATGATTTTAAACATCCAAATGCCACTTTAAAATTTTATAAATATAGGTGCCCTTATTTACAGTTCACAAATATTTACAATATGGTACCAATAAAATCGATTAATAATGTGGTTCATATTGTTCTACAATTCGATGCAACAAATTCATACTATGTTAATACTTTTATTTTTTAATTAATAGCTATATAGTTTTATATAATTTATATATTATTTATATATAATTTATATAGATTTATATATCATTTATATATAATTTATATAGATTTATATGTAGTAATTATTATATAAAATTTATATCATTTATATATAATTTATATAGATTTATATGTAGTAATTATTATACAAAATTTATTTTATATAAAATTATTAGTATGTAAAATTTATATAAAAAATTTATTTAAATTTTACAACTATGTAAAAGTTATATAATTATAGTATGTAAAATTTATAAATATATAACATTTATATAAATTCTTTTTATAAAATTATATGGACTTAATTAGGCATCGCAACCTGCGATGTGCTTATATATCGCATTTTAGATGATTGACCAATCAAATTTCAAGA